AGACTTCCGATGTGTTGCGGCTGAAGACGTTGGCTATAGTCGATCCACGAATGATAGCATTGAGACTTCGCGTTTCAGGGAAACTGCTGGCGGCAGAGAAGGATAATAATAATCAAATAATAATTACTCAGCTCACGTGGCAAGCTGTCATCTTTTGATCCCCGACCACCACCCGGCTTGCGATTTCCCCACTCTACAGTCTGCTGTTGACGTTCAAAAAGCCATAGTTATGTCCACCATCTGAAGTGTAACACTGGGAACTACCCTTGCTACAATGTCAAGCTTTGAGCTTCAAGTCTGAAAGCCTTTTCTGTCAGGTTCTGAAACTAGTGCTCAAGATGACTATCGTCAATAGTCAAGGTATTGGGCTCTATACTCGGATCGAAATCGTAGCGTTGATTTCTGCTTGTTGAAAGAACACCAGATCTCTCGTCATTAATCACTCAATGTCGGAGGTGAATGCTTCCCTGTCGACTGGGGCATACAAGCCCTTGGTCTCTTCTCAATGTAAATTGGTACGCGATACGCTTCCGCCTCCTCTAGTCTGACTTTCCTTCTAGCAATGCTTTCTTTGAAATGACGGCAAGCATGCGACAGGACAAAGATCACGCTAGGCTGGGACGCGTATTTACTACATCAGCCAGCGACACCCTTTCTGTCGTGTTCTGCTTTCCGATTGGATTCAGATCCTTCGACGGTCTGTTTTCTTGTGAGCATATCCCATCTCCTTGCTCAGGACTTTTGTCACTAATTTATGTTCTGTAATCCAGCATCGACGAGTTATCATTGTTAACTAAGTGGTGTCGTCAACGAGCTCCTATGTCACGTTCTCCTTCCATCAGAGCAAACTTTCTGTTTGAAAAAATCACATTCAAGTCAGTTGAACCTATCTGCGATCCGCATTTCCGGCCCTCACTGCGTGTGTGAATGGAGTCTGCCCCTCATGCCGTGCCACAAACTCCATCCCTCTCGTCTCAACACGCAATCAGCTTGTGTGGATATTTTAATCTTGTCACATCTATTGACTGCTTCGGTGAATATACCACGCGCGCCTTTGCTATTATGGACTTGTTATTGATGCCCGGCATAGCAGCATTTCTTTCTCGGCATGCAGGCCGCTCTGAATTCAATGCATTCGGTTAGTACAACGGCGATTCTACAGACAGCGATCAAAGTGAACAAGTATAGAGGAAACCTGAATTCCGTGTCAAATTTGATACCAAAGGCGCGTCTTCGTGCATCGCCCTGCGATAACTGGCGTCTGGGAAGAGAAATGGGGTACTAGAGCCTTAAAGAGGTCCTGATATGTTGCTCCCTTTCGCAACGCACCAGACCTCAGAGTACTGATAACCGCTTTCGTGAAGGCACCCCGACACCCCGCACCCTCCCTCACTGCCACCTGCACCTCCTGTGCAAACTCGGATTCCCCACACGCTGCTACAATTACGTGGGAATCTAGGTCTGGGCGCCAGTTCTTGTCCAAGATGGATTCATGACCGAGAAGGTCTTTGAGGTCCTCTTCACCTGTGCGGAGCATGGCTCTGAGCGAATTGTACCTCGGTGGGACGGTTCGCACTCCTCGACTTCAAGTGGCGCCACCACCGTGGCAGCAGTCTAGAATGACGGTGATTGGGTGCCCTCCCGTCCGGTAGATTTGAGAGAAGATGGTGTTGAGCTCCCGGTCACTAATATCAGGAACGGTGTCGCGGTCTATGGGACAAAGTGCCTCGACGAATGCGGCTCTTGATGGAGAGTGTTCATTGATGTGCTCCTCATCGGAATCCTTGTCATCGTCAAGATCTGACCATGCATATCTCGAACCGTGTCCAGCAAAATAAACAACGATCGGGTCGCCGTGTTTGATATCAGCTTTTGTGAGGAGACTGTGAAACGTGGATAAAATGTTTGCATGGGAAGGGATGGAGGAAACGTCAGCATCGTGCTGGTCCCTTAGACCCAAAAGGGCTTGGATTCGCTCCTTAGGCACGCCGACGACTTCGACGAGGCATTTCTCCATTTCTAAGGCATCTGCCCCACACCCGCTCAACGGGTAGGATGAATAGTTGTCAATGCCAATGACAACAGCATAAATTCGACGGGGGTCACACTGCGGCTACATCGTTGCTCGTCAGTAATGAAGGTCAACAATAGTGAGTGTATACCTACACTTGCAGCAAATAATTCAAGCTCAGAAGTACAGACGCTTTCGAGACCTTTCAGTAAAGATGTAGGATCAGCCCCGCCACTATGTCGGGCTTTTGATTTCCCCTTGGGTAGGATGTGCGCGAAGTTATCCATTTCGTACTCCTGCACCGAGCCGAGCTCTCGGGTACCTTCGGCGCATTGTCCCAGAGCCCGTAATGCGACATTTTTATAAAGCTAAAAAGATAAGTGTTGTTTAGTCCAAGCTATGCCCTATGTGTGAACACGTGCCTTCACGAAGCTCGTCCATTTCGTAAAGAGTGTTACATTGCTATGGCGTGGGCTGGTTGGGGCATTTGAGTGTGGAGGATTCCACGATTGAGCATAATGAATGGTGTGGTACATGGCGGCCTTCCCTTGCGCACTCGGGTGGACACTGCTGTATGTGGGTGGGTGGATGAGGGTACGGTAACGTGACGCGGTGCTCATGGCTGTCATAAATAGACGACCTTTACAGCCTGTTGGAGGGCTATCACTTTATAACGGCATATGCGAGAGGACCATCGCTTTATAACGGCATACGTGGGCTATCATCCTATAACGGCATGCGCAAGCTATCGTCATCGCGGGGGGGACTATCACTTTATAACGGCATACGCGGACTGTCATTCTATAAACGCATGCGTGAGTTATTGTCATCGCGCGGGGGAGGTATTTATTCAGGAGTCTCGAATACTTATGCCAACTGATGTCTCTTCGGCTGGTTCGCTACTTATGTATGTCTGGGATTAAATAAATAAATAAAAAGGAATCACTGAATCGGGATATAGCTGTGATGTGAACGTGAATCGTCGCGTTCACATCGACTGAGTCTAATCTGTCTCCCAACTCGGTTTCATTGCACTTGTAGTACGTCTACCCAGGGAATCTGTTGTCCCACAATTTTCCTTGTACTTATTTTTGCAGAGCCGAATCTCCTTCCTGCGATAATATTTTTCAGTCTGCATATTTTTGGCAACATCGTTTCTGGCGTGATTTTTTCTCAGCTGAACTGGTAGCAGGAATAGTGGAGTTGGTACCAGACCCACTTGAGCTTGCATTGGAAGTCTTGATTGTCTTGTATGTGCTGTAACTATAGCAGTGGGAGGCTTGCAGTAGGTAAATATATGAATTATTGACTACTAGAGCTTGCAATGAGCTCCTTAAATACTACAAAATGTATCTAGAATATCAATGATAGACCCTGTCAGACGCGCAAGTTCAAGAGCTAGTAACTCCGCCCGGGGTCTTGGGGATACTGTTGGTGCAGGTGGCATCATACAGATCACATGATACATCTAGAAAGGAAGGTGGACCCAATATCATGTACTGTACTATTACGACCAAAAGTTCACCTAACACCTAACAGGACCCTATGAACTGAACCAAAATGGTATATCCTAATGCCTAACAGGGTGCTCTGAACTGACAATCCAGTGAGACGAGAAGAAGGCTTCAATTAGGGTCAGCAAAGCTATTTTTGTACTGTGTTGTACCACTCTCTAGTTGTCCTGCTCCCAGAATTTCCTGCTGAGCCAATGGTCCCAAAACGGTTCTCAAAATATTTGAGAGGTTTCTTCTTCCTGTGATCTTGTCCAAGAGGCATCTCTAGTGCATCTGACATCACTAGCTGAATTAAATGAACTTTGGCACAAGTCCTAATGCCTCACAGGAGCCTATGAACTGACATCTGACTGAACTTCTTCCCTAACGTCTCACATGGTGTGAACTTTTGGTCATAATAATACAGTATTTAAAATGCGCAAACCCCTTGGGTATTCCTGCTACATTAGTGGTAGGTCTTATAGAGGGACCGTCGTTTCAGAGATTGCGATTAAAGCCGAAGTGGGATGTCAAAGAAATTGGGTCCCACAGAAATCAAAACAAGATCGGGTGACGGGAATGTAGCTTTGCAAAGGCACCATATTTGGCATGTTCCAAAGCGGTGCGGCTTGCACATCGCAGTCGATCATGATGTTTCGGTGGGTGTCACAAGAGCGCATAGTAGTAATCTTGAGAAACGGTAAGCCAGATGCTCACCATAATCAGCGAAAGAGGTCTAACTGAGAACGGAGGGAATGGTACGCTGGAAAAGAAACAGAAAAATTGCGTGTCAACGGGGTAGTGGTAACATGTATGTATATCATCGACCCCACGGGGGTTCAATTCCCCTTTGATGATTATGCATGAGGCAATGTGATTATTTTTCACACATGATGGTCAACTCCCCGTCGATGCATATAGTTGCGGATAATTCTCTCCGACACAAAAGTAGCGTCAACTTTCAAGGTATTGCACGTATCCTTCTATCTGTAAACGCAAAATGGAAATACGGACAACCCGTATGCAGCGACACGAAATCGAATAGACTTTAGAGCAGGCTGTACATGGAGAGTCCAGCTGTGTCGGCACCCAATGCTCGTGTCGAGGGTGAGTACACTTGGGAGATTGAGTCCAAGGCTAGCGGGTCATTGCTGGGGAGATTCGATCATCACTGTTGGAGTAAAGCCTTCATATTCGTCAGCTGAGAAGGCAAAGAGTCCAAGAGCACCTGCGAGTCTTTGTTGGGATCGGCAAGTATGGTGGTGGATGAGAAAGATTGCGTCCAAGAGAGACGACGGCAGTTCTTGAAAATCAATGCTGGAGCGGAGCAGGATGAGACTAGAGCGTTATTCAGGTGTTCGTGCAGGATGGATGGAAAGAAACAATTCTTGGGGCAAAGAGTGCTGATGCAATCCATCGGATGGAAGCAAAGGCGAGTGTGCATGTCGATCGTGAAACTTGCGAGGTTACCAAGTTGGGAAACACAAAAATGCTGTGCATCAATGGTGTAGTGGTAACCTGGGTTGCTGCCATGAATAAGTTCTACAAGGTGTTTTCGACCTGGCAGGGGTTTGATTCCCCCTTGATGCATCTACATAGATACTCCTAAGTTTTTTTTTTTTCATGCAATGTTGACTTAGGGTTGCTCACGAAACCTCCAAGGGGGGTAACTTACCGTTTGTTACCGACCCCTCCCCAAGGGGGTGTTTTGATACGGTAATTTACCGTTACTTACCTATCACGTGCGCAATCACATGACGAACGCGTGGTAACTGTAAATTATTTTTTCAGGACATCCGTGTTCCAACTGTGTTCGTGTTTTAGGACATTTTCTTTGTCGAGGATGCTCTAAGTCATCTAAATATATTGCATATTCACTTCTGCACCACATATGCAGAATATACATGTAATTGTATTGAATTTTCATGCTTATCAGGCAGTCACATGATGTGTAAGTTACCTCGACGGAAAACCCCTCCAGCGAGGGGAGGTAACTTACCGGTAATAAACCCAAGTGTAACGAAACCTAGGTTTCGTGCGCTACCCTATATTGACTCGTGCATCACACAATCTCAATCACACACTTCCGTCCAAGTAAGAGAGAAACAACACTGAGCCTTCCGACACCCCAAGCGACAGTCTTCTTGGAATATGGGAACTGTCCCGAGCGAAACAGATTTGGAGGCGGACAAGACTTGATTCTGGCATTCTCAAGGTACGGGATCCATTTCGCCGGAATGCGACGTAGACAAGGTTAGTACTTTCTCGGACGTCACACAAAGAAAACTGTCGGAGCGGTGATGAGGGCTACTCACCGAGGGTTCAATTCCCCATCGATGCATTTCTTTGTTGTGGCTGAAATTTTTGCTTTCCTGACATTGAACGAAGATTGCAGTACAAGCAGGTACTCTATATGAAATGAGAATAAACGACAGAGCGACCCTCGGCATGCGAGTCCGAGCCATCAAAAATGCACCCCCTGCCTCGACTCGGAGCTCAGAACGTACGGGCTCAGGATTTACTGGTGCCAACCAAATTGGGATGCTTCCCAGCAAGGATTATGTGGGAACGGGAACGGGACTAACGTGAGTGGCGACGCGTTTGAAAAAAATATCTGGCACTCCTCAGAAACTCGTCCTAGTTGGAGGATATCCGTCTCCAGGACTCGGAAACCTGGCGGGCTAAATATCCTGAGAGCAGAGGCCAGCGCGGAGTACACGTCCGTTAACGGCGTGGCACGATCGCGAGCAAAGCGTATGCGGTCGGCCCGATGGGGTAGGGGCAACCCGGGACTTCCCGTATACAGCGACGAACAGTGAGCTTTTAGGACAGGGAATGGGCTTTAGGACAGCTTGCGGTGTGAATGGAGACCTGTCTCGACAGCAGACATAGCCTGGCAATGAGAACTTGAAGGGGTCGAGGTGATTGAGTAGGCTGTGCTCTAGCCCACGTAGCGGGCCTGCTCGCTGGGCAGAGATTCGGGGAATACACGTCGTCGTCGCGGTTGGAGGAAAACCTTCGTATTCGAGGCTAACGCTTCGATGAGGGGGGAGAGTGTCCAAGAGCGCCTCTTTGTTGGGAGCGGGAAGTGTGGCGGTGGACGAGAAAGATTGGGGAGCCAAGCGTCCAAGAGCAGCGAGCTCTACGTCGGCAGTGCCTGTCGAAAACCGATGCTGTGAGCACGGTTTCATGGAAGAGGTGGTTGTACGCACCTCTCATCCTTCTGGAAGGTCCTCGTCCATGCTTGAATAAATCAACCCTCTACCCTAATGCCAAGGAGGATGTAGCAACTCGAGCTGGGCCCCGTCCACGCAAGGATCGACGCCAACAAAGTCGCTGCGCGGAAGTAAATCGCAACATCACATTGTCCTCAAGTGTGGCGCACATTGACGACCCGCAAAGGAGACAAGTGGAAATACATATCGAGACTAAGGAGAATGGAAGCGAAAGTTCGGAATTGGTTTACACAATAAACATCAGCTGACCCTGGCAATTGGTAGTCGAGAATTACCTCGTATGTAAAGTGTTGGGAGCCATACAAGTACAAGCAATTCGATTATATGGCCATGTATAGTAATAAGTGAATTGGCTGCTGTACGCGATTGGTGTGAGGAGACGGAGTATATAATCCCAGGGGAACGACGACACCTCCAGAAATCCCCCGCCTCCTCACAATGATTGGAAAACGCAACGCCTCCAACGCTGAGAACATCCCCGTCCGCCGCGCCTCCACCACTGGCAAACACGTATCAGCCGCCAAGGCCCTATCAGCCCCTCTCCATAAGCGGAAACGCGCTGTTGCCAAACCCGGCCAGATAGTCTTCGACGTCAAAACCTACCGTGCGTCCAAGGAGACACTCATCACCGTCCAGCTCGTCCCGAAGCTCAGCCGACCCATATTCGCTCTCCCCGAGGCACCCACTCTCTTCGCACGGGACAACCTCGTTCGCGACTTTGGAGTGCGGCTCTTCTACACGCTCTCCCTCCTCGCACCTTGCGCCCCACCAAAAGACACTCCTATTCCCGCGCGGTTCCCCGTGTCTCTCCCCGCCAACGCACCCGCAGTGGGCCCCTCCTACTTCCTCGGCGTCTTCGCCCCCAACTCCACCAAAGTCACCCTCCACCCCGCACACCACGACGTCCTCGCCGTGCACTGCCCGCGTCTCCCCAGCACCATCCAGGCGTCACCACCAGCCTCGGAGATCCCCGTCCACCCGCTCTGCCTACCTGATCCCCAGTCCTACGCGCTCCTCAGCCAGTACATGTACACTCACCGCCAGGACCTCCTCCTCGCGTCCCTCCTCCCGCCTGGCTCCCTCCCGTCCAATCCCTTCCCCACCACCGCCCACCTCTCGTCGTCTCCGAAAACCGCCGAAGAGATCCACTCGCAGCTTCTCGTCGTCGCAGAGTCCCTCGCGAAGGATTTCACGCAGCACAAGCTTCTTGGCGGGCTGTCGACGGTCCATGGGCTGTGGAAGAATACCGTGGCATTGGGCGTTGATGATGATGGTCTGTGGGAAGTCATCCATGCCGCGTGGGGCGTGTATTTGACAGCGGCGGGTTGGACGGACTCCCGTCTCCACCTCAGAAAGGGCGAGCTCATCCCGGGTTACCAGTGATTCTATCCGTCCATGCTGTCGATTTTGCTCTCTTGTTGTTTAGCTTTCCATTCCCATTGCATATGCTGTACACCACGCACTCGCATTTACTTATTACTACTTATGATATATGGATAGAAGAAGAATATGATGACTTGTACTACACTCCTCCTGCGTGATTTGAGCTCGATTCACTTTTGTCAACTGATGCTTAGCCTTGAATTGTTATTGATAATTGAATATTGATAATTGACGAATGACGCAACTCTTAAGTCATAAAAAGAAAATGAGATGACAACTTTGAGTATGCATCAAGGGGGAATTGAACCCCCGGCGGGTCGATGAATTTACTACTTGTGTCTATACACCAAATGGCAACGACCCAGGTTACCACTACCCCATTGATGCAGATATCTCTCCTTTCTTCCTTTCTGACCAGACCTTTTACACGAGCACTCCCTCTTAAACGCGCACTCTTCTCTACCAAAACCTTGTTCTCGCATTTCCAGGAGCGACAGACGTTTCGATTCTAGTCTTGTGGGTCTTTCTTGACCGCGCCTCAAGGGAAGGTTTGCTTCTTGCTTCGTCTTAGGGAAGGGACTCTGACAACTCGCACTCACCTTGACCGCACACCGCCCCGACTGTGCAGGGAAAGAAACGGTATAAGGTGCGTGTACTGTCTATCTCCCTGTTGCCGCAGCCTTGTCCTGCCAGTTCCTTCACTATCTGCTTCGACGGAACCTTTCTCATTCGATCTCACGTTCCACGGAACTAATCTAGTGGAGATCAAGTCTCGACGCGGAGATTGCTCCATGGGTAGACGACCGTTCCCATCCAACACTTGCTTGCTATATGTCTAGGTGTAGCATGCACCATCCAAGTCTCACAGTATAACCGAGGAACGGCTTTAGTGGTACATCTTATGTTTATCTAACTGTAGTACGGACGTCGTTACGTTTCTGTTCAGGAACACCGACGGCTGATAAATTCTCCTTCCTTCCTTCGATATAACAGGGATCGGGTACGTCGACTTGGAGACAACTCTTAGCGGCAAGGCTTGGCTTTAATTATTGAACCCCAAAGATCATCCTCCCTCATCGACGCACACCTGGCCGGAGCATGGAAATAGCTGTTTGGTATGCGTACACCTCTCAATATGGCTACGAGTCGATTCCTACGACCGGCTCAAGGAATCCCAGAAATGTTTCCGACTGGAGACGAACATCCTCCAACAGGGCGCACGGGGTTATTTTTGATGGCGACTCGGACTCGCATGCCGAGGGTCGCTATTCTCATTTCGCGCTTACGAATAGAATACCTTCAGTCGAGCTTGTATGTTCGGAATCTGCGATCTTCGTTGTACTACACTCCTCCTGCGTGATTCAAGCTTGACTTAAGACTTAAGTGCCGTGACTCGTCGATAATAATTCAAAGCTAAGTATCAGTCGACAAAAGTAAAAATAAAAAAAAGGCATGTTAATGCTGAAGATGCATCAAGGGGGAATTGAACCCCCGGCGGGTCGATGAAAGCGGAAAAGACTATGCAGATGGCAACGACCCAGGTTACCACTACCCCATTGATGCTGACAATCGATAAGTCTTTCTTACTAACTAGACCTTTTGCCCGACTACATTCCCATCCCATCTCTCTCGGCACCCACCAAGGCGAAGATATGTTGATCTTGCATTTCCAGGACAGTCAAGCCTCCATGGGAAAGGACCTGCGTGCGAGTCCCCCGCCCCGACTCAAATGCGAAGGTATAACGTGCGTCAGAGCCCGATCTACTGCTTCGTCTGAGGGAATGGGACCGGCCACGTTGATCCTCGTTCTCGCACTCGCACTATCGCTCAGGAGAAGAGACGGTACAATGTGCGTGCGCTGTCTATTCTCTCATTATTGTCTGCCGCGGAACCTTTCTCATAGCGTCGATCCCACTACACTTGGCCCCAATCTGGTGGAGATCAAGTCTCGCTCAAGAACACAGGAGCAGAGGATCGTTCCCCGCGACTCATGCTAGCTCCAGGACCGTACGTCGATTGAACCCAGATATCTACGGCCCTTTTACCCTCCCCCTTCAACACACGGCCGACACCAAAACGAGATCGGGAACCCACACGACTTTCATACCTAACTCACTCAACATGGGTATTATGGGGTGCAGATCAAGTCCCGCTCTTGGCCAGACCTTGTACTCCCTCCAGGTCGCGAAGGTTTGCCGTTTGAGACCCCATCCGTGGGACTTGTGCGCGACGGCCTTCCCTTCTTGACAGCGCACCAGGGAAAAGAGACGGTGCAAGGCGCGTCTCCCGCCCTTTCTACTTTCTTTTGTTTTGCTTCCACGGGACCAATTCTGGTGGAGAGAGATTGAGACTTCTATACGGTGCGCGCACCGTCTATTTGCTTCCGCGGAACCTTTCTCATGGCGTCGATCTCACGTTCCACCAATCCCATCCACCGGCCGCGATCCAGAGTCGAGCACCAACTCCAGGACCGGGCCCTAACATCTACGGCCCGCTCCGAGTTCGTCTCTCCTAGCAGGGTACGAGTCGATGCTTTTTAGTTCGATTTGGTTTTACCCTCCAACCTCTCTGCAAACACACAGCCGAAGTTTCAACAACAGGGGAAGCAAAAGCGAGATAGGTCCAGCGATAGCACGACTTTGACATCCCCAGCTCGCGACGACGTAGTCCCCGACTTTCTCATGGCGCGTGGAGCTCGAGGAGATCGCTACATGAGTAGGGGATCAACACAGACCCCACGACCTGACTGTCGACGCTGGTTTCTATATGTTACATTTCTAGGCACCAAGCCCTTGCAACGTACACCAACTCCAGGACCAAACGTACGTCGATTTGGAGACAACTCTACGCAAGACTTTGCTGAACCCAAACCGCTCGTCCTCCTGCACCTTTTCAAAATGGCTACGGGGCGCTGCTTTTTTGCTTGATTTCTCCCCCTCCTCGACGGGCCCGAGATCGGGGATGCCCACACGACTTGAAACTCCTCTCATACCTCATGATGTCTAGCTCCGTTTCCCCAAGCTCTCAGTCCCCTTTCTTTTGGGTATTCTGCTTCCTTGGGACGTTGAGCGTGTGATGACGGCGGGCTAGACACGTCAACAGAAGTTATCCCTTGCTGTCCACATCGCTGTTATGATATACTCTATCCTACTTGAAGTCTCGCGTGTGATATAGAGCTCGCGCTTAATTCAACATCCATGAACACTCAACCTGTAGTATGTCCTCAAAACTTGAGTCGGAATCTAGAAAAGTTAAAGCAATCCATCTGATTTATTGTGTTATTGTAATATCGTCCGACGTCCGGACTCCGCTGTGACCTGTCAGAAGCTGACTCAGAGTCAAAGATCAAAATAAATCTTTAATCATTTCCACCAATTTTACAATGCATCAGGGGGAATTGAACCCCCGGCGGGTCGATGATAGCGACTGTGCCTGTTATGGCAACGACCCAGGTTACTACGGGTGATCACGATCTGCAAATGGATCGCGATGTGCAAATTTCGGTTTTTACCACGTTTTAGCAGGTTGTTGGCTTCGGGTTTTTTTTTGATACTTCAATGAATGTATATAACTAATACTGCGCGATAATTCTATTTGTAGGCGTAGAGGAAGCGTTTCGAGACAGCAAAAACTGGCTGAAATCAGCCTTTGTAAAGACCGGCTGCCTCCAGTTTCACACTTGTAGAAATGAACAACCTCCGAATGACTTGGGTGCATGATTAAGGCTCATTGTAAGAGTTCAAAAAAAAAATTCGAACCTATTGCTTGAGGGATGCACGAAAAATGAGAGATACATTGGATTCAGCGTTACAGAACGTGACAATTTCAATGTCCGGTATGCCGTTTTGCGGCGACAATGCAGTGCAACCGCGTTCCTTCTTCAGAAAGCCGCAGCCGGCGTCGTCGGACTTACCATTTGACCGTGACGTTTGCCGTGACGGAATTTTGCACATCGCGATTTTTTGACACTTGCACCTCGGCTACCGTCCGACGCTTGCTCTACTCAATGAAAACCCCAAGAATTTTTATTTTAGCATCGAAACACATTTAAGAAGATACCGGTAAATTTTTCAAGGAAACGGAGCACAGGTGAGAGCTACAGAAAATCATCTATCAAAAATTTGCATTTCCCGACCACCCATAGTACCACTACCCCATTGATGCTTATGATCATTGAATCTTCCTTATTAACCGGATCTTTTTGGCCGAGTTAACCGTCTAGTTCTCGGCGTCCTTCTTCCCTTCCACAAGCGATGATATAGAGAGTGCACTATCTATCCCCTTTGCCGTAGTTCTAACCTTCCGATCTTTATTTCTGAGAGCTTGATCCTCGCCTTCCAACTTGCACCACACCACCCGCCATGACTGAAGGGAAAGAGATTATATAAGGTGCGTGCACTGTCTATCTCCCTGTTACTGCAGTTCTAAGCTTGTACTGCCAGTTCCTTCACTATTTGCTTCGACAGAACTTTTCTCATTCGATCTCACATTCCGCGGAACCAATCTGGTGAAGATCAAGAACGATTCGGAGATTGCTCCTTGGGTAGAGAACTGTTCCCATCCAACACCTGCTTGCTATTTTTCTAGGCGTAGCACGCACCGTTCAAGTCTCACATTAAAACCGAAGAACAGGTTTTTGATACAACAACTCCGGGGATGAAGAAACACGGGGTACGTCGATTTAGAGACGACTCTCGGCGGCAAGAAGTTAGCTTCGATTGTTGAACCCAAACATCGCCCTTTTTCATCGAATTCGACGCAGCAGTGCACCTAGCCGGAACATGGAAATAGCCGTTAGGTATGTGTACACCTTTCAACATGGTTACGAGTCGATGTCTTTTTAGTTCGATCTGCTTTATACCCTCCCCCTTTGGATCGATGGGTCAACACACGTCCGAAGAACGCACTCGTTCTGGCTACCAATCTCCTACGTGTTCCATGTCCTCCTAGATCGAGCGACGCCTTGGATCATAATGTCCCAGCATTATCGCTTCTTTGGCACTCGACCAAGCCCCAGTCGACGGAAACCGGATGTGTCGCCTTTGATCATGAAAGCTCTAGTTTTGTCCGCCGACGATCCTACCTCCACCACCGCCGGGTGTGATAACTAGGAGATGATAATGAATAGAGCGCTCGATTCAGGACCGACTCTCTATGAAGCACCCGCGACTCATACCCTGCTCACCCCAAACCCATTTGAAGTCTTGACTTGGACACTCAGGAGGGAGAGCTCGCTCTTCGGTATTCCTTCAGAGCTCAGGCTCCCTTTCCACTGCATGCACTTTAGCTTGGGGTCGCCAGGGGAATTTACATCTCAGAACGAGGCCGACGTCTTCCATTTTTCTCCCCGCCTCCTCGTTGTACAACATGGATAGAAAAATATGATGCTTGGTACTACAGCATTCTAGTGTGGTTTTGAGGTCGCAATCCGGTTCATTGACCTTGAAGGTGTTCGTCAGGGCCCAGTTCCGAGTTCTAACGTACAGTACTTACTAACTAGCAGTCCACAGTCCACATTCTCTAACTCGACTAGTTAAACTTAAGATTCAACAAAATAAACCAATGGTTTTGGTTCGCAAATATGCATCAAGGAGGGAATCGAACCCCCCTTGAGTCAACAAACTCAATTCCACCAGGCTAATGGCAACGACGCAGGTTATCACTACCCCATTGGCATATACCCGAATTGTTATATTTGTCTTCTCAGATCTCGCAAGGAACCGTGGCCTTGTCAGCGCTCCCCCATGCACCGTGCATGACTCCCATCACCTCAAATCGATCTGCTTTCCTTCCATGATACGCCCGATTCAATGACCCCCTTCCCCCTTGCCGTCGAGCCAAACACCAACACGTTCATTCCCCTGAGCTACATTCCCGACTATCTTATGAGATCAGGGTGTATCACTTTGTAACGCGCTACCATTCACAGGCCCCTTCTCATGGGGGACCGTACCTCTTTATCTCGAGTACTCAGCCTGTTCGGGATCTTGTAGGCATTCCTGCCATTTTGCTTCCGCGGAATCAATCTCGGCAATCTGATCGACAAGGCTTGCGGTGCCGGTACACTACCAGCATGGCGCCATGACCAATGCCTTCGATGTTTTTTCTATGCAATCTCGAGATGCCATCCTGGATGACATATTGAAGAATGCTGCGACGATGGGCGATGGGCTGTCCGTGCCAAGCGCGTTTTTGACCATCTCCATCTCAAAAAAGGCGAGGTTCTCAGTAATACTGTACTTGTGCCGTCGACATTGCTGCTGCACTTGTTTAACTTTTCATTCTCGTTTGACATACCGTATACCACTTGCGTTTGCTTGGAACCGCTTATGATATAATACTGTCGCACGACAATCCTTTCGTGTGATTTTGACTCGCTTCTTTGCATCAAAGGTGCCTGGTGTACTCTATAGTGAAAAGTTGGAAAGTTGTGCTGAGTGTTCACGACTCACGACTCGCCCTGTCACTAGTATTCATTACGGATCGCTAAATTAGACGAAAAAATTTGATCCATTATGTATATACTTATGCATCAAAGGAATTTTAGGGCGCACTGTGCTGCG